GATGTGGGGCTCGATCCCAGGACCCTGGGATCATGACCTGAGCCGAAGGCAGACACTTAACGACTGAGCCACACTGGCACCCCGTGAACATATGTTTTAATTTCTCTTGGATATATCCCTAGGAGTGTAATTGCTGGGTCATATGGCTCCTCTATGTTTAATTATGAGGACCTGCCAGTCTGTTTTCCAAAGAAGCTACACCATTTTACAACCCTACCAACAATGTATGGGGTTTCCAATTTCTCCACATCTTTGCCAACACTTGTTATCATCTATCTTTTAAATTATTAGTCATTCCAGTGAGCTGGAAGTATTTCGTTGTGCTTTTGATTTAGCATTTCCCTAACAACTAATGAGGTTGAGCACCTTTTCATGTGCTTATTCTCATATTCTTTTTTTTTTTTAAGATTTTATTTATTTGTTTGTCAGAAGGAGAGAGAGCACAAGCAGGGGGAGCGGCAGGCAGAGGGAGAAGCAGAATCCCCACTGAGCAAGGAGCCCAAGCAGGACTCAATCCCAGGACCCTGGGATCATGACCTGAGCTGAAGGAAGACAGTTAACCAACTGAGCCACCCAGGTGACCTTCCTTTTTTTTTTTTAATGGAGCCCAGTGCGGGGCTTGAACTCATAGCTGTGAGGTAGAGACCTGAGCTCAGACCAAGAGTCGATGCTTAATGGACTAAGCCACCTAGGTGCTCCTCCCATATTCTTTTAATGAATTTCTTCTCTTAAATCAGCCAGAAATTTTTGTCACGTTTTTGTTGCTTGACACCTGCAAACAACAAAACCATGAATCCCTGAAACTTTCCTGAAAGTCTCCTTAAGAGGTATCTGTCTTCTGAGTTGGTTGTGGGTCTAACAAAGGAGTTCTCCAGGGGTCCTTTGAGTCTTACTTTAAGGTCCGTTGAAGACCCCAAGGGTACAGGAGTTCCATTTCACAGGGGCCCTCAAAATTCACCAAGGCCCTCAAGGATGAGAGGTTGCTTCCAAACTCATTAAATCATTTAGAAAACACTCATTCACTCTCCCTACTTGTCCCATGCCTGGCTTTGTGCCTAGGGTCCTTCAAGGAGCTCATCATCTGCTACAGAAGGCGGACATGGACATAGCCAGTTTCTGCTCAGAGTGACCAGTGCTGCTGCAGAAGAAAACAAGGTCTCTCTGTCCCTGGGAACAGGATGCTTCTTAGAGATGGCAATAGCTGACATAAGTCCTGGAGGATGAGTGGGAGATAGCCAGGTGAAAGGTGGGATGTGTGATCATGCTCGAGAAATGGCTCAAAGGGACAGCTTTGTATTAGTGATGATATAAGTTCAACTGCTATGTATCTATACCTATTTACATCACATTACATCTGTGATGTAAATCACATTACATCTGTGATGTAAATAGGTATAGATCTTTAAAGTTCAAGTGTGAGCTATCCTAGTGGGAATATAAATTATGTAGTTCTATATAAGGAATTACCAAAACTTAGTGGCTTGAAACAATGGACATTTATTGTCTCACATATTATCTGTGGTCAGGGATTTGGAAATGGCTTACCTAGGTGGTTCTTACTCAAGGTTCTCATGAAGTTGCAATCAAGATGTGAGCCAGGGCTGTGGTCATCCAAAGCCTTGACAGGAAGCTTGGTTGTTGGCAGGAGGTGTTAATTCTTCATAATGTGGATCTGTTCTCATGACATGGCAGCCGGCTTCTGCCAGAGCAAGTGATCTAAGAAAGGGTGAGGCAGAAGCCACAATGCTTTTTATTACATAGTCTCAGAAGTCACCTCTGTCAGGGGTGTGAATACCAGGAGGTAAGAATCAAGGGGCCCATCTTGGAGGCTGGATAACATAATCTGCCTTTTAAAAAAAATTTTATTTATTTGAGAGAAAGATGAGCGAGAGAGAGAGAAAGAGAGAGAGAGCACAAGCAGGGGGAGAGGGAGAGGGAGAAACAGGCTCCCCACTAAGCAGAGAGCCCAACATGGGGCTTTATCCCACAACCCTGGGATCACGACCTGAGCTGAAGGCAGACACCCAACCGACTGAGCCACCCAGGTGCCCCTATAATCTGCCTTTTTGACCCCAATGATTTATGTCTCTCCTACATGCAAAATAGTCTCACCTTCCCCTAAGGCCCTAAAAGTCTCATGCTGTCACAGCATCAACTTGAAATCCTGAATTTTGTCACATTACTCAAGTTCTGATGAAAACAAGACTCCTTAGAAGTAGTTCCTTAAGTATTCTCATCAGCTACAGAGTTCTGCTTTATCCAAACACCTGCAAATGAGAGACAAGTTATCTGTTCTCTACCCACCCAACACACAAGCAGGCCCAAGGTAACTGCTATGGACCCTCCTGCTGAAATAGGGAGGAAACAGGTGTACAGGAGTCACTGTCTGTAGCAATTCTGAAATCAAGCAGTTCTCTGATTCAGATCGAACTTAGGACTACTTCTCTGTGGGTCTTGGTTCTGTCCTCTGAATCATCCTTCCTTTCTCATGAAAGGTGGCCAGGGTTTGCAGCTCAGTAGTTGTTCCAGCCTAGTTCCTAAACTGTTGTATAAGTTAAGGAATCTGCAGTTCTCTTTTCATTTTATATTGTCCCTGTCTCTTTCAAATGTAGACATTTGAGTTTGTGACACATGGTTTAGACAAAGTTCTTATAGGGAAAAACAAAATCTATACTCAGGGAACGTCCAGGAGTTCAATACGACCAAAATATTGGGTGTTCCCTGGGTTTCTCTCTGCTAGAATGTCTAAACACATACCCACAGTTATTGTAGAATTATGTGTCAACCCTCATATCTGACCATGAGAACCTCTAGGGCAGGGCCTCTTTCTCAAGAAGAAATAGACAAATCCATTATGCTGGGATATTTTAATACAACTCTCTCAGTAACTGATAGAATATGCAAATAAAAACATCAATAAGAACACAGAAAATTTGAATAACATGCTTCAAGACTTTGACCTAATTGACATAATAGAACACTGGATCCAATAACCATAGAATACATAAATCTTTTCAAGTGCACATCAAATATATATTGATATGCTCAGCCATAAGGTAAGTCTAACCAAATTTCAAAGAGCTAAAATGGTATAGAGTATGTTCAGTGACCACAGTTGGATTATGCTAATCATCAAAATCAAAAAGAAAACTAGAAAATCCCAAAATATTTGGAAACTGAACAGCACACTAGTAAATAACCCAAAGGTCAAAAAAGAAATCACAATAGAAAGTAGAAAATATTGGTTCAAATGGTAATGAAAATATAATATGTTAAAACTCGTAGAATGTAGCTAAAGCCATGTTTAGAGTGAAATTTGTGGCTTTAAATGAATATATTTCCCCCCAAAATGGCTGAAAATCAACTATCTAAATATCTACCTCAAGTAGTTAGGAAAAACATTCAGAAATTAAATCCAAATAAAGTAGAAGGAAGAAAATAATAAAGCTGACAGGATAAGTTATTAAAATAGAAAATGAAGATATGGGGGCACCTGGGTAGCTCAGTTTGTTAAGTGTCTGCCTTTGGCTTAGGTCATGATCCCAGGATCCTGGGATCGAGCCCTGCATTGGGCTCCTTGCTTAGTGGGGAGTCTGTTTCTCCTTCTCTCTCTCTGTCTCTGCCCCTGCTTGTGCGCTCTCCCTCTCTCTCAAATAAATAAAAATCTTAAAAAAAAAAGAAAAAGAAAATGAAGATATGAAAGAGAGGAATCAAAGAACCAAAGTTAATTTTCTGATAAAACTACTAAAATTGATAAACTTTTGGCTAGACAGATGAAGGACAAAAAGAGGAGACACAATTATCACTTTAGAAATGAAAAGAGTGCCATCACTACAGATCCCACATGAATCAAAAAGATAGTGAGAGGATATTGTAAATAACTATATCCCAACAAACTTGAAATTCAAATGACGTGAATAGATAACTAGTAAAACACAAACTGACACAGGAAGAAATAGGAAAACTGAGTAGTCTTGTTTCTATTAAAGAAATTGAATTTTTTATAAAAAAAAAAAAAACAAACTTCCTACAAAGAAAACTCCAGGTCCAGATACTTCCAGAGAATAGAAAAAGTAGGAGTGCTTCTCAATTTATTTTATGTGACCAGCATTACCTAGATACAAAAACCTAACAAGGGCATTATAAGGAAGGAAAATTACAGGCCAAAGATGCAAAAATTCTAGGGGCGCCTGGGTGGCTCAGTCATTAAGCGTCTGCCTTCAGCTCAGGTCATGATCCCAGGGTCCTGGGATCCAGCCCCGCTTCGCATCAGGTTCCCTGCTCAGCAGGGAGCCTGCTTCTCCCTCTCCCACTCCCCCTGCTTGTGTTCCCTCTCTCGCTGTGTCTCTCTCTGTCAAATAAATAAAATCTTTAAACAACAACAACAAAAACACAAATATGCAAAAATTCTAAACAAAATATCAGCAAACCAAATCCAAAGATCTAGAAGTAGCATAATACTACACAACCAAGTTGTGTTAACTCCAGGGATACAAAGTTGACTTGACATTTGAAAATTAATCAGTATAACTCACCACTTTAACAGAATAAAGTTAAGAAACCATAGGATCATCTCAAGAGATGTAGAAAAATTTATAAAAGTTACCACGCATTTATGGTAAAAACCTTTCAAACTAAGAATAGAAGGGAACTTCCTTCATCTGATAAAGGACATGCACAAAAAAACCTACATCCAACATCATACTTACTGATGAAATATAAAAGCCTTCCCTCCTGAGATGGGAATGAGTAAAGGGTGCCCACTATCACCTCTTCTATTCAACGTTGTGCTGTCCCTTATGAAATAACAAGAAAGAGTGTAGGACCAGAAAAAAATAATTAAAATTATAATTATTTGAGGTCAGGGGCTTGGCTTGATTGTTCTGCTGGGACCCGGCACAGAGTAGGTGTTTGTTTGGTGGGTAATTGTTGAGTGGACAGATGGAGC